TCATGGCCAGGAAAATTAAAATGGGGGACTAGGAGAGGACTTCTATCTTTACTGCTCCTACGTTCCTTGAAATGGTCAGTCTTCTATCTTTTCTACCAATGTAAATGACAGGACACTTTCTGCAAAAAATGCAAATATGAGATTGAAGTGAAGGCATGACTCCCTTCAAGTGATCATGAAATGATTAGAAGGATCAATTTTAACCCCATACATATAAATTACCCACTATCCAAATATATAGTATATAGGAAACAACAAAAAAGAAAGCAATGAAAGTTTTCTTCAAGCTGATGCTTCCTCAATTTACCTCTCTTGATTATGATTACATCTCTGTGCCCTTTAACAAAGATTTGAAGAGTACTAATACAACAATAATCCTAAATTAAATGTGGTTCACATATGCTCCAAGCCCTCACTGATTGATTAATCTCTCTCCAATGTCTACCTTTTTTTAATTTACATTTACAAATGAAACTTACATTACATTTACTTCCTTGTTCCTCCGCACACCTGAAGAAAGCTATACAGCTAAAACATTTTTTACTTAGTACAGTACCTCTTGCTTTAGATCTTCTTGAGCTTTGTGTTTCTGTTCCATTTTTTTCTTTAAGGTATTCAGCTACAAAAAAAGTTAATCTAAGGAAATCATTTTAGATCAATATCTATGTTTACTTTAATAAAGATGAAGACACAATCATCTTACTAAATTATACTAAAATATCATTTAAATTTACATTGTCTGTATAATTTCATATAATTAAAAAAAAATTAAAGTATGCCATAGCATCTGAATATATGAGGCAAGAAGGGGGTATTGAAATTGCAAGATTATACAGATGCAGTAATTAACTTTAAACTTAAGCATTTACCTTTGTTTCCAGGCTCTTAATATGTTTTTCCCTTTTAATTAATTCACTCTGCAAACCTCTAGTCTATGAAAACAGTAAATAAATAGTTATGCATCCAATGCAGACATTATTATCATCCCAAGTTAAGCTGTCCACGCAGATTGTCTGTTGATCATCTATTTATCAAAGAGGCAAAACAAC